ACAAAAACCACCCAAACTTGGTGGGAGCCTGGCGAAGGCGTGGGTCGGCTGAAACGGCTGCTGCGGAGGTGGGGACCTGGAGGGAAACGAAGCCGGGATACCCCCCCTACCCCCCCCCATCCCTCCCCCCGCCTTCGGCAACCAACACGCAACCATCCAACACGCCCTGCAAGGTCGGCGGGTAGGGGTCTAAAATGGAAAATAAAATGGAAAACGACTATTTAGGGTTTAGGGATAAGGGTTTAGGCTTTCCCAAAATTAGGGGTACTCTTTGGGGGTCCCCATAGTAGGGACTATAGTAATTTGGGTCTATGTTGGGGTCCCTCAACCCTGAACCCTAAACCTGTGGGAATGGGGCTTGGGGTCTAGGCTGGTGTGTCTTTTGATATAGGCTTAGGCTTACGTTGCACTTTGGGATCTTTTCTTGGCTGCGTGTTGCTTTCAAGGTCACAGTTCAGTAGCTAAGGACATAGGGTCTTTGGAGGAGTAGCTCAGGTTTTATAATCCCCTCCTCCTAGTATTAAACCACCTCCCCTTAATATTGAATACTCCCAAGATATTTTAATATGCCACATAATGGTGCTATTTAATATTAGGGAGGGTGTGGGGGGGGGGGGAGGGTTTAACCCAAAACCCTAAAAATCAAGGGTGGGGGTGGATTAAAATGAGGAGGGGTGCAATGGAGGTTTGAGCTTGAGGCGTTTGGCCTGAATAGGTTGTCGTGTTCAGGGCTTAGGGCTTGGGTTCTAGGGGCTGTACTGGTATGTGTAGGGTTTAGGTCTTGGGCTTAGGTATTATTAGGGTTGGCGAATCACATGTAAAAAACATGGAAGATGAAATGGACGCTAGTGCTATACAGGGGTATGCTCTAACACCAGTCTTCCAGCGCGTAAGGACTTTTTGCTTACTATTAGAAGGTGTTTTAGCTCCGTGGGTTCGCGAAAGAACACAAAGCCGATTAATCTAAAAAAGATCTAGGGGACCCTTACAAGGGACCCTTGCATTTAAGGAGCTATAGAGGCAAAAGTAGTAAAACCATGAGCATCGCTGGAAGCAGGGGTTGTTGTGATTGAGCAGCAGAAGAAACGTGCTTGTTGATGTTGCAGCCCCTTTTGGGCTACAAGAGAATGGTGACCCAAACGACGGTCACGCTTCCCCTCGGAGAGAAGCCCGCGACGTTGGTTGTATGGCACGTGCACAGTACAGGAACACTGTTGTGGACTGTGCGCCCCCTGTTTGAGTTCGTCACCCCGAACAAAGAGAATGTGCGCCCCAGAGGCAGTATGTTCATCACCGAAACATGGTCTAGCATATGGAAATCTTACCCTGGGTTATCCCAGGCGCTACTGCAACCTGGTGAAGAAGCAGAAATCTACGATTCAAGAAAAGCACCGAAGGCTTTTTCCTGAAATTGACGTGCCCCAAGTCTACGCTACTCGGCCCAACTTAGCAACAACAACAACAACAAACACGTAAACAAATTCCTTCGCCCTTACCCGAGGTTCAATCGGAAGCTCCGCGAAGGGGCTTCGTTGGGGATGAATCCCTGATACCAAATGATGTTCTTCAAGCCTATGTTCAGCATATTGCATGTAGCACAACGATGATTGCTGCTCAGCTTGCAGCATGGACCAGCGGAAGGCGTCGATCAAACGAGAATGCCAGGAGGCAACTCTTCAGAAATTATATCCGTTTTGCATGAGCCGCTTGTACGACAATCTCATGTTGTCCTGTTTTTGCCTCTGCTCATGGGAGGGCTGCGCTGGCAATGCGGGCTTGGCTGGACGTGGCAAATCGTGCTGCTTCGGAAGCGCAGGTCGAAATAATGGGAGCGACTTAGCTAGCAAGGTGATGCTTTACTTACACGATCCCAAACCCGAAGCCACAGCCCCCTGACCCCTAGACTACAAGCCTTTCTGAGTGCTCAGGTAGGAATGCAGATCTTAAACGGGCGGTGCCAATTGGCAGATCAGCCTGCTTTGCTGCAACAGCCATGGTGGAATGTTTTCGTTAATTGGTTCAATGGCGAAAATACGCAAGAAGGGAGGCAGAAAGTGCCGCCCCAGAAGCGCCTGTTCAACACAGACGTAGGCGGCTCAGCGAATATTGCGTATTCACTTTCACAATGCTTAGGAGTGATACCGTACCTGCGTATGAAACTACTCAGGTTCAGACTCCTGACCTCGGCGTGCTTGTGTCCTTGTTTTTCTACAATGGATCCGACTCCTGTGCAGCTGCGGGTTGCGCCCTGCTCCGGAAAGCGAGCCAGTTCTGCGTAGAACATGTTAGCCAGCGCTTGAGGGATCCGGCTCCTTTGGAGGATGAGCAGGCTGAAGCCTCCTCTGCAACAAGGATGGGGATTTCCGTGGACAAAGGAGGCGTTCTTCAGATCATCCGGCGTCTGCAGAAGGCTGCCGCCACATTTTCTGAACAGTGGTACGTGCGCACAGCATGTTGTGTAGAGTATTACATCCCAACCCTGCTGGCAGGGTGAGTACCGGATGCTGGAGCAAGCCCTTGACAGCAACGGACTCCAGCGACAATATGCTCGTGTCGTCTATCAGGCTCTAAACCCTCAACGCCAAACCCTAAACCCTAAATCCCAAACCCTAAACCCTAAAGATTCTGTTGTGCAGGAGTTCGGGTCATCCTGCAGGGCACGGTCCTTCTCCGAGTTCGAGAATACGACCTACCACCAGGCGCGCGCAGCTGCTTCTGCAACGTCATGTTATTGGGTTTGGATTGATTTTTTGTTCCATGGCCAGACGTGCTTCGATGCTGGCACGGCAGATGTGCAATACATGTTCATGGTTCTCTTCAACCCCGAAGCACGGCTTGGAACTGTGCTACCGCCGCAGGTGCGCCCCAAACCCTGTGCACTGCATTTGTGTGTGCAATTCTGCTGCAGTGATTTGCGGACAGTTTTGGAGATATACTATTTTCACATGACTTTTGTGCGTTTTTTCACAGAGCGAGGTGGCTCAAGTGCCACGCACAGGACAGGCACAGTGATCTGTCAGCATGGATCCTTGCTCAGCTATACCAGGCACGAGCTTGGCGCGTGCCTTTAACTGGGCAAAAAATGTTGCAGGATATCTCCTGCAAATTCTGACACCGTCCAGGGTTAGAACAAGCTTGTTGGCTCAGAGTGCAGGGTCCGACAGCGACTTCACGGGAGGGGCAGGGGCTTGGGAGGTGGCCAGTGGATTGATTGGCGCAGCTTGCCAAGACTTCCCTGAGCTGCAGACCGTTGACCTGACGCCGCAGAGTGTGTGTGATGCACGCCTTTAATGCAGTGACATTGTTTCAGCAGTTGCGGGCGCACATCTAGAGCCACACGCAAGTCAGCAACCCACTTGTGCAATTAAGGAATACGCAGCTTCTATGCGGAGCCTCCTGTGCCCGAGACTGTCGCCCACAACTTGCGTCTTCAAAGATATTCTGGAGATATTTGGCGAGCCGGGCAGTGTTGCTGCATATTTCGACAGCCTCTCAGGCTACGAAAACATGTTAGCTTCCGCCAGAAATATGCAACGCTGGTCCCACGGATGGTGCCTAACTCATAATACCTGGTGCCCTTTTCGGCAAAGCCGGCTGAGAGTTCAGGGTCCACCGTGTGTGGATTGGTCAGCAGCTGGTTTGAGAGGAGGAGTGGAAGGCCCATTCTTCAAGACCCTCCTTGCAGCTGGTGCGAAGACAGATTTGACAGCCCCATGTTTGAGCTTGCTAGAGAATGTGCCAGGGCTGCCTATGTCAGTGGTTCAGGATTGCTATGGGCCTAGTTTTGCCTGGCAAAGTTTAGTACTTTCTCCTGCTGACGTTGGCTTCGGGGGCGTTGCGAGGACAAGGGCTGAGCTCATGTTTTGCTCAAGAGCTGCGTAGGTGGCAGAGCTGCCATAGATATGTTTGACAAAACACGCGTCAGCAGTGCCAACGCAGGAGGTACTGCGCTGGCGTTAACACACTGCTGGCTTCATTGGTGGGAGATCTGCGTATGCTCCTGGATGAAGTGCATCAAAAATTGCAGCGCGACATCGGCCTGCCTATGGGGTGTCTTGCCACCGCAGTTCAGCTTGCGCACGGTTTGTACACTCTTTAGCTTGTGCTGTCCGTACACGTGCACTGTGACTCAGGCCTACTGACTGCATGGCTTTCAGCACAGAACGGGATGTGCTTGAGGATGGAGCGGCGCTGGCAGCTTCCAGGAGGCACCTCAGAAAGAGGACCCGAGGAGGTGAGCCTCTGTCCCTAAAATTTTTGGAGCCCGGCAGAACATGATCGCTGCCAAAAATATGTGGAGAAGTGGCAATCCCTGGCCCCTGCCCACCGTTGCCCATGGCATCATCTGGTTTGCCACCTTGCAGACAACCCAACCGCAGAGAATGGCTGGACTTGCTGGAGTGCCACCTCCAGCAAGATCCCAACAATAAGAAGGTCCAGTGGAATTTTGGCAGTGCCAGCAGCTGCCCGGCATCTGACGTTGAAGGAGTTGTACATATCCATGGGTTTTCCATGCGTGGATTTTCTCAGCAATGTAGGTAAGGTCCCGGTGTACACACTGGACATGTCCAAGTACAGTGCTGAACGACAGGCGCTGGGTAACAGCTTTCATGTTGCCCAAGTTGGGGTATTCGGAATGTGTGCCCTGGCCCTAACGGTAATGAAAGACCAGTAGCAAGACCGAACTGACAGAGCCAAAGCTGGGCGGAGAAGAGGGGGAGCCATGAGCATGTCATTTTTGTTTTGCGATTGTTGGTTGTGCAGCTTGGGGCAACATGTCTTCTACCGTCTGGCCCATCCTCAGTCCCAAGTTAGGCAGCTCATTGTGTGTTTCGCTCCCTTTGACTTCACTTGAGTGTAGCCATGCTCCCCGGGCCTGTGGACCCCTCAGGAAACCCGATCCAGGCAGCGCCAGCACCACCCATGCAGGCAACGAGCACGGCTCCCGTGGGATGCACGGCGATCGTGCCAGCCCTGGTCCTGGTATGGGTTCGTTCGTGTGCCCACCAATGCTGGTCCCAGGCCAGACTATGGTGGCAGGAGGTCCCGCGTTTGCTCCTGCGCTGAACCCGCAGACATTTCAGCAGCAGCTTTCTCAAGGAACCCTGCCTCCTGGCACAGCCCCGAGAGGGCGCACTAAAAGGAAGGTTGCTGAGACCCCAGCGCCGGCCGCAGGCTTGAATTTGCAAGCAGTACAGGCGCTGCCTCAGATGACCCAGATGTTGCCAGGGAACCCTGCCATTTCGCAGACACAGCCGGTGCCGGCGCCTGCCCCCGCCGGCAAGGCCAAGAGCGACGTCATTCAGGGAACCCACATGAAACACCTTGATGAAGATGATTCGCATGTCGTACTGAACGCCATTGACGATGAGCAGTTTAACGAGATTGTGTTAAAGGAATGGAACCTGACTGAGAAGCTGGACCTTGGGAGGGTCTGGGGGAGTTTTGTTGTCAGGACATGTATATTTCTCATGACGCCTGAAAGGACATGATCGGCACCCTGACCAGCCGTTGGGCAGAAAGCTCCTTGGTTTCCAACTCCCGTGACCCTGTCGCAAGCAGTCTTGTAACTGTAGACCATGGACCACTGGTAAACGTGCCATGTAATGACTTGATTTGCACTGAGGCAAGAAATTGTTCGGAGCGCTGGTGGGCAACTACAAGCGACTGGCCAAAGAGGGGAAGGCCCCTTACCCGAGCACCTTGTTTAGACTTGATTTGCGAGCATTTGTTCAAGTAGCGCTGCGTCATGAGATTTAGTTTGTTGTTATCTGAGTCAACTCCACCAAGCTCATCAAGGCGGTCCGCTTGAAGGGTGAGCAAGAGAAGTTTCTGCGCAGCAAGTTATCCCTTTATCAAATCAACGGCCAAACGGCCGTGTCCAATGGAGTGGCCCATGTGTTCCTCGGCCCCAGCGCAAGCCCGTGGGAGACAACCGTTTACATCGACAGGGAGCCAGGCACTCAGCCTACCTGTCCTTCCATTTGATCCTCCCCTCACCTGCGCACCCAATCTACGTCCCTGACTCTTTTACTCACTCACTCACTCTCATTACCTCTCCGGTCAATATCTGTCTCTCTTTCTCTTTGCTTTTCTTGACAAATGTCCGCTCCCATTTTTGGCCCACCACCTTTTTGTATTTCTCTCTGACGAATGCTCCCCTTTCTGAGCCCTCTTTGTTCTGTGTCTGCGTGTCGTAGTCTTGCCTTTCTGTGCAAGGTTGAGTCTTCTTCTTTGCTTTGAGTTTTCTAAATCATTCACACCTGGTCTGCTTAAAGTTGTTTGCTTTGCAGTGCATGTTCCCATTTGTATATTGCGCACTCCATCCCGAATCCCATAAAATGTCATTGTTAAACCAAGGTCGGGCAAGCCGTTTGCCTTCAACGGTGTTGCCAAAGAGTTCTTGGAGAAATATGTGGCGATTCCCGAGTTTCCGGAAGAGCTCCGACCACCCCCTCAAACCCCACCTGCTGCTGCCCCTGTGTCCGGGAAGGACAGTCAACCAATCACTGTATTGGCGGTTAGAATTTGTGCGGAGATGATGTGTACGTGTGTGTGTGTGTGTGTGTTTGTTTGTACATGTGCCAGAAATGAGAGATATGCGCGCAGGCTGAGAAAGACAAGGATGTCATGTCCGTGGCGCCGTCCACGCAGTCCAGCGCAATGACTGATTTTTCCCGAAGGTCCATTGCGAGTCACTGCCCACACATTCTGTGGCAGAACCCCAACTCATCTGAGGCGGCGCTGATGGAAATCCCGGAGGGATGTACAGAGGTTACGCGCTGGGTGGATCTCCCGAACAACTTGAGCAAGGATTACGCTGTGCGGCGAGACCCAGTGAGTGGACTGTACTTCTTGACCAGTGCGTGCAAAGGCGTGAGTGTGTGGGCACTCGTGCTGCATTTGAGCGGTAATGGTTAAATTGTAGGGAGGCCTTCGTTTTCTGTGCATGTTTGCGATGATTGGCAATGAACGAAGACGAGCACCATCTTTGATCGAGCGGCCGACAACGTGGACCTGTTTGGTGAGCTGCCGACAGAGTCAGCCGCCCGTGCATGTTTTCGATTCAAGCAGCAGGCTGGGGAGGTCCCTGCGCATGGCGAGAGTGCACGTGGCCCACACACGCTTGTAGTAATTTGGTTGCAGGAACCAATCCGTATTGCACACACGTGTTGGCACGCAAGCAGCTCAGGCCAAGTCGAAGGCTGGGCCTCCTCCTGAGATTGGTGTTGGTGGTGTGCCAGCGCACTTGGCAGAGGTAGGTGTGGCGATTTTTGCTGGACGTTGGCAGTTTTCTTATGAGCTTTGTAATCAATTCAAGCACATTGTTAGGTGGGTTGGGGGTCGGGGATGGGGGTTGGGATTGGGTTGGGTTGGGTGGTTCTGGGTTTGGGGCGGGTTTTGGGCGGGTTTCGGGGGTGGTTTTGGGGCGGGTTCTGGGACGGGTTTTGGGGGTGGTTCTGGGTGTGGTGTTGGGGCAATTTTGGGCCTGGTTTCGGGTTTCCGAGCCAAGGGTATCCTCTGTGCAGGCCACGAAACTGAGGGGACCCTTGAGGGGTCCCCTCAGTTTCGTGGAGGGCTGGCCACTCCAAACCTGAAACTGAAGGGACCCTTGGATCGGAAATTTGTCGCCCAACGCCTCCCCAAAAACCAAAACCCCAAAACCCCCAAAATCACCGAAACCCGCCCCAAAACCAGCCCCAAAACCACCCCCAAAACCAGCCCCAAAACCACCACCAAAACCCGCCCCAAAACCACACCCGAAACCACCCCAAAACCATTCCAAAGCCACCCCCGAAACCTGCCCCAAAACCACCCCAACATCCACTGCAAAACCCCCCTTTACCTTTTCCTCCCAACCGCCCCACCACCCGCCCCGCCGCGCAGCAACAGCAGCAGCAGCAGCAGCAACAGCAGCAGCAGCAGCAGCAGCAGCAGCAGCAAGAGGCAACAGCAACAGCAACAGCAACAGCAACAGCAACAGCAGAATCTGTTCCGGGCTTATTTGTGGTGCGCGGCATTCTTGAACGGACAGTGCAATGCCAGCAGAGTTTTGGTTCATCCAGTGCAGTTGTGTATCCAGTGTTCGGTTCGCGCAATGTCGGGCTCGGAGAAAGGATCATCTCCCGGCAAGTCCGATTGCAGCTTTCAATCCGAGCTGTGTGTTGACACGCCAAAGAAGATGAGCTTCACGAACCCTCGACAGCCCGATTCCCCGAGTACGCCCAGGACAAGCCAGACAAGTGTGTCACCGGCTGCAATCGTTGAAGTGATGACACCCAAGAAGCGTTTGTGCAACACGGAGATGCAGATGACACCTGTGAAGCACAGGCGCCTGAGTGTGCACGCTTTGCGTGATGCGGGACTTGACACAAGCCCCTGTGTGAACAGCGTCCCCTGGCAGACCTCGCCAGTAGGAGCCTCGCCGTCCAAGTCAGATGCTACCACTCTAATTTTGGGGGAGCACCTGGATGGTGCTAGCATCCCGGAGCCAGCAGTCGAGATGACCCAAGGGAAGCCCGCGTCAGAGTGAAGTGAAGCAGTGGCTCGGTCGTAGCAGTTTTGTTGCCGGATGCTGCAAGCATCATGGAGAGATGTGCTATGCAGCCGTTACGGCAGCCGCTACAGGGGAGCAGTCGCTCCCAAGTTTTTGAAAAGTGGAGGCTCTTGTCATAGCGCCAGGCAGTTGGCATTTCCGAGGCCAAGCAAAAAAGTAGCGATTTGTTGAGGTTGTCATTTTTTGCAACTTGACTCAGCAGCATGTCTCTGTGTTTTGCAACAGCTTCAGTTCGTCATGCGTTGCATTGGAACCAAGAAACTGACCTGGCAGGCGCTCGGGAAGTGAGGCAATTCGGGCAGAGAGAGGCTGATGCAATTTTGGTGGCATTGAGACTGGACGCGCGGTTGTGTTTAGACAGAGTAGAAAGCATAAGTGCCGGTGCCCCCTCTCAGGAAGTTAGGGCGTGGACAGTCTCCAATAGTCGTACGCGTGGTGTGGAGAAGCATGAGCAATGATGCCCGTGCAACAGTCCTCGAAGTGTTTGCTCTCTTGTTGGGCCTGCCATTCTAGTCATGGATAAGGCTTGCGTTGCACCGCTGCACCGCTTCAGTCAGCAGAAAATATGCTTGCCACTGATTTTGTGCTTGGGTTGGTGTAACAGTTTGTGTTTTTCGCGGACCATGCCCACGCGAGGTGCTTTCAGGCGACCAACTGCGCGTGGCAAATCCTGACATCCACAACGATGATGTAATGCAGGCGCGGTTTCTGCAGTCCACAGCTGAAGCTCGACGAGAGGTTTCTTTAATTGTGTCAGTCAGAACACTTGATTGCTGATTGCTTGCCGCAGCTGGCTGCCTAGGAACTGGAGGCGCGAGGTGAGATCAAGGTTGGCAGTTTGCAGCAAGCAAAACAAGTTGCCACCGCTGGCCGCAAGTACCCGCTTCGACTGTGCCAAGCCCTGTGGAATGGATGCGCGCAAGGAGCTGGAGTGCGACTAGATGTGCATGTACCAGACCCGTGCGCAGAACCAGCCTGCTCAAGCAACCTCCGACAGAAAGGCGCATGGATTATGCTTTCAGACGGAGAACCGAAGCAGCTGCTTGATCTGCAATATGTCTGTGGAAGTGCGCTTTGTTGTTGCATGTGCGCTTGTCTATTTCTGCGGAGTGCGGAGAGACAGACACTGCTGTGACTGAGCATTAACCCAGGATGAAAGTGGTGAACATTCTCCTGTGGAAACTGAGAATGAGGGGGCTTCATCTCCTCGATTGCATACACCGCGTGCATGACGATGCGCTGTTGCCTGCGAAACAGTTTGGTTTGTGGGGTCGGACGTTGCCAAAAAAACATGTTGCGCTTAAATCAGTTTTTGGGCGTCTCAATATCTGGCAGGCATCGTTGCAACCACCTGACTCTGTATGTCAGCAGCGCGCAAACCTTGGGAAACCTTTCAGTTTGGGCAAGAAATGGCAACGCTTGCAGATGTGTACCTGAAGAGCAATGGCCCTCAATCACCAGAGTTTCTTGGATGTCTGTGTGGGGCTTTCCAGTAGAAATCCTTGAGAGATTTATCACCCCCAGTTGCCCGACCTCCTTCCCTGTGAACCTCCTTAGCTTTTGACATGCTCAGGTTCCAGAAGCATTTGGACTTCACGCGACAAGACCAGGGTGACCGCTTGGGCAGTCGGAGTCCTGAAGATGTGCATCGTCGTTGCCTGGAGGGCATTGGTGAATGGAGCACAGAGGAGGCCGGCTTGAAGGAATGCACATTCATGCTGTGTGTAATAGGTAGTCGTCAGTGCGCCTATGTCGTCGCAGGTGCAGCTCAGCAGATTCTTTTCGTGGCCATGCCAATGGAAACGGTTCGCTCCCTTCTATACATTTCTTGGCAAAGTGCATGCTTTCCGCCGCGCACAGGCTGGCGTGGGGCAGGAAGAAGGGGATGAAGGGGCGGCAGATGGGGAGGTTGCGCCTGTTGGCCAGCTGGCCGCCGAAGCATCAAGAAGCAACCGCCAAATTGTG